TTTAAATGCAGCTGGGGCTTGATCCAAGATTTCTACTTGCTTTATTTGATTCATTAAGCTCTGATCGTATAGTAAACCGTGTGTTGGCAGTCTATTAGTTCTTTTAAATCCACACCAAATGCTCACGCATGACTTGGCAGATTAGAAAAGTTTGTTCCACGCAGCCGCCTGCGTCGGTCGGTAAATAGAGTCAGTGATTTATGGGTTTTGCACTCACCTGCACCAGTCCTTTGAGGTGTTCCAGCACTCCCTCCATGGGAAGCTGCAGGAGGTGATTGTTTCTCAGGTTGAGCCGAGCCAGACTGACTCTGGAGAACACGCCGAGCGGGAGGCTTCGCAACAGGTTGGCGTTAAGAAACAACAATTGGAGGGAGGGCATGGAGTCAAAGGTGCCAGGATCTACCTCACGGATCTCATTGTACTCGAAATAAAGGTATCTAAAGCCAGGAGAGAGAAGAGATCAGTACCAAGTGAGTTTCTGTGAGTTTAAAGAGCTGTGGAATAAGAAAAGATAAATGGTTCAGTGGTTATGTTCACTAAACTGCTCAGGAATTTGCGATAACTATTATATATGCTGTTAATAAAGTAACACCGCTGCATTAAGTCATGACAATGTAATGAACAGATAAAACCATAGCAGTTCTTGACTAAATCACAATTGTTTTACCTTATTTTTATGAGTTACCGAGTTGTAGCTGTTTTAGTCAAACCTCAAAAGCACAATCTTAACGTTAGAAGGTGTTTGCTCATAAATCACGTGCTCAACTCTCAGTAAGAGAGCATAGCAAATCTTAGCCCAATATCTTTAAACTTGACTGAGTTATACCCACTTTTGTGTTGACTAATGGTGATTAGCTGTGGCGACCAACTTGAATTGAATTGACTCCAAAATCGAATCAGTTGTGGATGTACACCCAGTCGTTACTGGCTGAAGTATTCGCTAAAACCCATCCAGTGGTTGTTGACTCCAACACTTGACACTAAAATTTTAAGCAAAGATTTTTCATAATGTGCAGCACTTTTTCACTGCCGATACGATACTGATATTGCAGTCTTGAGTGTTGGCCAATACAGATATTGACATGATACGATATTAGAAAGATTCACGCGTACTTTTATTAATTTAGTAATGTGAAATCTCACCAAGTCTTGATCAAGTCAAACACTGAACAATAGTAAACAACAGCAGGCATGAGAAAAACTGACCCATTTATTATTAACCAATGGGCTACATAAATTTTTAACTTAAACCTAAGAATTTTTTACAATTACATAAAATAAATAAAAAGGAGTGTTCATATCAGAGATATTAGATGCAGCCCAATATAATCCAATATTAATTTTTTGGCTGTTGGACTGATGTCCGATATTGATATCGGATTGAGACGCCCCTAAGCACTTAGAGCAGGGGTCTCCAACCTTTTTGTCCTWAAGAGCTACTTTCACAAAATGAAATTGTCTGAGAGCTACTCTTTAAACTTAATCTTAAACCATTGTAATAAGCTTGTTTTCCACAAAAAACATTGTCTTCAATTCACATGAAACTACCACGAATAACACTGAATTTACATGAATGTGCTTCAACCAAGGGGAAGGGACATCTTATAGATGGATTGGAATTAAATGAAAGTTTGTTTGCCCAGTGACAAATAAAATTTTGCTTCTCCTAATTTTTCATAAGCACTGAAGAGCTACTTTAAATGAGCTCAGGAGCTACCGGTTGGAGACCCCTGACTTAGAGTATACTGTATGTGAATGACTCTCTGCTACAACTGCACTGAATTGTGGCTCAATATTTATAAGACTGAATGAATTGCAGCCCTTTTGTGTTTTTCAAAGTCATTTATCTGTGGTCATCAAGTTTGATCCACAAGTTATTTAGTTGTAGAAGCACATCCAATAATAATTTCCTGAAAGTCTCAGTCTGGAGCAGTTCACGAGTGATTTTTGCTAACAGACAGATAGGGTTGACTCTGCTGCCATCCTGCATGTTCTCCTTGTTCCTCGGCTCCAACACACCTGATTTAAATAAATGGGTAATTAACAGAGAGAGCGTAAAGAGGTCGTTCAATCACAGAATCAGCTGTGTTGGAGCAGGGGAATAAGTAAAACATGCAGGATAGTGGCCCTCTAGGACCAGGACTTGACACCCCTCCCCCCAAACTAAGCTCTCGTGAGGTTTGTTAGTGCTCAGAATAGATGATGGCAATAAGTTTCAGCTACTACCACATCACAGTTTAAGACGAAATCTATAAAATTGACTGATTTACAGTCATTTTTGTGTGCGTTTGTGGCAGCCATCTTGAATCAGGTTATTCTAAAAGTCATGTTGTAGATGTGCATCCTAACATTTTTTTCTGCTGCAGATAATAATAAAATACAACTTTATTTCTAAAGCACTTTAAAACAACCTCGTTGGCCAAAGTGTTGTACATGATTAAAACATACACAAAACAACAAACTAAGTAAAATGAGTCAATATCATAAAAAAAAAAAAAAAAAAAAAAAAAAGAAACAACACAAAAAATACATCTTTATTAATAA